CCGTGTGATAAGGTCCATAGAATGGAAAGCTATAGAGTCAAAATGAACATACTCTTAACAAATATAAGGAAGAATGACAGTTGCTCCTCTGTTCTCATGGACTTGAGGTCTGTGGTTTTGAATATTAACAGAGGGGCAACCTCTGTTAATATCAATGGGGTGTGGGGGTTCACCCCATTCGAGCCTGGGATATATTCAAGCCTGAATATGGGCGATTCTCTGTTTTTGCAGGGGGGATCTGGAACGGATCCCCCATGAAAACGGAGGGCCGACAGTATACACTGATCTTATGAACAGAAGGTGTATGACACCAGCTAAAGCCAGTTTAGGGGAAAAGATGGGATATAAATGAAATCACTGCCATCACTTCCAAAATCTAACAATGGACTCTAGGAGAAAATGTGGTCAATTGGGAACATACACACACACATGTAGTGGGAGTGTGCTATTGTTGTGTGTCTTCAAGTTGACTCTGACTTATGGTGACCTGATGGAAAGCTTATCACAGGGTTTTCTTCGAAAGATCTGTTCAGAAGGGGTCTGTCATTGCCTTCTTTGAGGCTGAGAGTGTGTGACTTTCCCAAGGTCACACAATGTGAATGGGTATTTGAGCCCTAGTCTCCCAGGGTCACAGTACAACACTCACATTCCTACGTTACTTGAGCTGTCATGTTGTGGGAGTACCCTGAGGTTTAAAAAAATGTAGACAGAGGTATTTACAGGAGACCATATCTCCCAACAGAAGCCTTCAAGAATGCTAAGGGGAAGGCTTTCTCTCAGTCTCACCACCAACACAGGCTGACTTGGTGAGGACATGATAGAGAGCCTTCTCAGTGGCTGCTCATCTGTGGGAGGTGAGGCTGGCCCCCTCCCTGCTTTCCTTTTGCTGGCAGGCAAAGCCATTTTTGTTTCAGCAGGCTTTTAATATGTAACCATGTCAGGGAGGTTTTTTTTTTTTAAAAAAATAGGGTGTGTGTTTTATTTTTACTTTTTACTTTTTGTATGTTTTAAAATAATTTTGTATTGTTTTAATTGTGTCCAATGGTTAGTCCATTTTTAAAATTGTGTGATATATTTCTTTTTGGTTTCCTTCTCTAAGCTGCCTTGGGTCTCATTCTGGGAGAAAGGAGATTTATCAATGAAATAAATCAAATCAAATCAAATCAAATAAATACTTCACACCATATACAGTGGGCCCTTGGTATCTGCGGGGGTTTGGTTCCAGGACCCTCAGTGGATACCAAAATCCGTGGATGCTCATGTCCTATTAATATTAGCATAGTAAAATGGCAAAATCAAGGTTTTCTTTTGGGGAAACATTTGTACATATATTTTCAAACAGTGGATGGTTGGATTCATGGATAAAGAATCCATGGATATGGAGGACTGACTGTACCAGGGGTGGGAAAATGTGGGAAGCTAGGGAACAACATAGGTAAAGGGTAAAGCTATACCCCATTGACAAAGTTGTCAAGTCGTGTCCAACCGTAGGGGGTGGTGCTCATCTCCATTATTAAGCCAAAGAGCCAGCATTGTCAGAGACTATTCTGTGATCATATGGTCAGCATGATTGCATAGGACTCTGTTTACCTTCCCACTTAGAAGTGGTACCTATTTATCTGTTTGCATTTGCATGCTTTCAAACTGCTAGGTTGGCAGAAGCTGGGACTAGTGATGGGAGCTCACCCCCTCATACGGCACCTGGGACTTGAACTGCCAACTTGCTGATCTTGCAATCAACAGAATCAGCATCTTAACCACTTGAGCCACTGTGTCCTGATCCACACTTCCCAAAAACTACTGCGAGCCACATGTTGCCCCCCAAAGAACTTGGAGGGCCTTTTAGGGGATATGGGAGCTTTCTACCCCATTTTTGCCACTCCAGTTCATTTTAGGCCTAGGAGAGAGATTTTTTTATATAAAAAACAAAACAAAACAAGGGACATTGAAGACCAAAACAATGAATGCCCTGGGGCCACTCAAGTCAACAAGTGTGACCCTGAAGGTTGCATTTGGTCCACTAGCCACATTTTGCCCTATACTGATATCCACAACACTAGCCTTACTATTGATTTGATCAAGGAAATAATGCAGATTTACTGTACAAAGACCTTCTCAGACTTTGAAGTCTTCTTCTTTATTCAAAACTTGAAATTCACAAGAATTGGAAGACTGACTAGCAGATTTTCATCCAACGATGACAAGTAAGCATATGGGCAATGATATTGATGAGGAAAATGGCAAATCATCTTTGAAAACACACATGCATACACACACACACACACAGAGGGGGGGAGAGAGAGAGAGATCATATGCTACGACATGACACATTTTATGGCCTACAGTTTAAATTTATGAGACCTACAACAGAAATTGACTGTCTCTTCTGCAGACTCATGGGAATCCATTGAAAGATCTAATGGGATGAAATAGATCTAGATAAAGGCCATAATCTTGTTGGTGATATATGCAGGCATAAACTAGGATTACATGCATGGAGGTTCTTTAAAATTAATTGTGCAATATATAGCTCCCTTGGTTGAAAAGCCTTCTGCAAAGGCCTCCAAATACCTGAGGAAGCATGCATCTGCCCTTTGTGTTATGCACCACCTCACATGATGTTGGATTTCAGTGATAGCTATAGATAATAGGTGGATGTAGTTGTGCAAGTGTGACCATGTGTGAGAGAAAGTTACACACAGAGGCATTCTGTTTATGTAAATCTATGAAATCATGACAGCCAGCCTAGTGCAGTGGTTTGAGCATAGGATGACAACTCTGGAGTCCAGGGTTCAAATCCCTGCTCAGCTATGGAAATCCTCTGGGTGACCTTAGGACAGTCATACTCTCTCAGCCTCAGAGGATTGCAGTGGTAAACTCCCTCTGAACAAATCTTGTCAAGAAAACCCTGTGTTCTTGGGATCACCATATCTTAGAAACAACTTGAAGACATATAACAACATAAAATCTAATTTAAAATCCAGCTTAAAAATCTAACTTCTAATGTAATTTCCCATTTACTTTACTTTTAATTACAGGTAGATAGACTCAATCAAAAAGCTTGCAAGATCTGAGCAGGGCAGTTGATAACTGGGTGACTTGGAGTTCTCTCATTCATAGGGTCACTATAAGCTGAAGTCAGCTTGATGGCAGTTTGCAACAAGAACAATTTCTATTTTTATTTTAATAATGTTTTATCTGTCATAATATTATTAAACAACATTATTATATTATTTAATAATAATAAGATGCCCCTCTTTTGTCCTTACAATGAAAATCCAAGTTGGGTAAGTGTTGCATCCCTGGAATTTCTCAGCTTTTGGTGAAGTGGGGAGAGCAAAATTGTAAGTACCGTAATTGTTTCTGATTGGCTATCAAATATCACATTCACTCTGTGATCCCTGAGAGCCTGGGATCAATCTAGAAAAATTAAGTGGTGTTAAATAGGAGAGGAAGTAGTGCCAAAGCAGCGAGTGAAAGAGGAAATAATGTCTGTTAGTAGCTGAATTTGCAGGAGCTGGACAGAGCAATAGAGGACAGGAGGGCATGGAGATGTCTCATCCATAGGGTTGCTATGGGTCGGACTGGTGCTAAGGCAGTTAACAACAACAACAACAACAGAAGTAGCTTAAACAGTGGCAACATAGCTCCAACAATTGTTGTTGTTGCTGCTGTTGCAAATGCCTTTTCCTCAACCCTGGGACTATTTGCATATTGAATATTCAGTAAATATTTCTTACCTCCAACCCTAAAAGCACTTCCTTTGCTGAGAAATTAAAATGAATGCAACTTTGGCATATTCCTAGGGTCATTCAAAAGATGTGGAAAGAATACAAAGGCAGAAAGGTAGTACTTAAAGTGAAGATGGGCTTGACCTCTGCCTCTTTTTAATAGACTGTAAACCTGTGAGTCAACTCCCACCCTGAGACCCTCCAAGTAACTTCAGGTACAAAAATATCTGCAAATATTGCATATCCCAACAACTTTTCTATCACCAAACCCAGGCAAAACTGGCCAATAAATAACTAAATAAGGCCATACCAAAACCCTGATTTAAAAATGGATATAGACATCTGGTTGCTTCCAGAAGCTCCTTTCAGCCAATTTGGGGTTCAAATTGTAGCAATGCAGTCTATCCATACCCCCCACTCCACTATCCCAGTTTGGCAAGTACAGTCCCAGTTTAGCCTCTGTTGTCCTAATTTTAAAATATTCCGATTTCTTTCTTCTCCTCCCACTTTCCTCTTTGTATTTAAATTACTTCAGTTGTTGCAAACAGAATTCAAACTGCACCAGTAGTTTGCACTCAGATGACTCAGGGCATGTCTACATGGTCCATTTAAACTGGTTTCCATCCATTCTCATGTCACCCTGTCTTCATTACACAGGGCCAAAGCTCTGATTTAAGTGCAGATTATCTTCATGAGGAAAGGCCAGTTCTGCACCAAATCCATCCCAACCCTGCCTTAGGGGGAAAGCAGACGGGCGGCACGGGGCCGCCCCAGGATGCTGCAGATTGGGGCCGAGGCATCCCCATTCCTCGGCCCTGCGGCCCAACTTTGCCGTCCCTGGAAGGAGTGCTAAAATAGTGCTCCTTCCACAAATCACCAAAGGTGCGCCACAAAAGGCTGCCGGCGCACCTTCAGCGGCTTTTCTGCTGCAGTGTGTGTGGACGCTGCAGCAGAAAGGCATCCTCGGAGTGCTGGCCATGCAGAGGGCCGGCTGCTCCGAGGACATTTTGGGGAAGGGGTTTGGGCGCCCAGCGTGTGGCTGCCCCTCCCCTTCCTTGCTCTGAAGATGGCACAAAGCGCTGTCTGCTTAGCCCCTTAAAATGTATTTAAAAGGTTTATCTTTTGCTCCAGATTTTCCAGGAAAACCCGGAGCATTCCATGCATCTGACTGTGCCACCCACCATTGTCACCACAGGTGCAAGTTGCTCCCTTGAAGTCAAAATGAGGTGCCCATCCATGGAAATAATGCTGGTTGCCTTGTTTCTGACTCAGAGGGAGTGACTTGGACTGGCAGTAGTGGTGCTGGGTGGCACAGAGGGACACATGTAGACAGCCACCCAACATTGTTCCAGAGTGTAGAGGTAATGGACAGCTTCAGGGCCAAAATAGTCCAGGAACAGCTTGGAGTGATCTGGCTGGTGTATACATACCCTTAGTGGGGGGGGGGG